AAATAGGAACAACAGAACAGTTAACATCCTTTTTAAAAGAATAATTCGCTTACTTTGCAGCATAACAAATTGCACCTGAGTCTTCCAAATCGATGAGAATAATGTCGTCATAGATGCGCCACACAGATAAGTCTGTTCCCAAGAGGGATGTAAGTGAACGAGGAAAAAGGTGGCGAACAAAAGACCTGAAAAGCTGTGTAGAGCAGGATTGTGAAAGGAATGAGTAACCGTCTTCAGATGCTAATAGGTGCGAACAGCACCTGCCATGGGGAGGTAACTATCAAATAAACGAAATGCGTTTCATAAATATATGCTTAAGAATAAATGGAGAATGGTACATAAGTGCGAAACAATTATCAATACTGTACAAGTGTACAAATGTAAAAAATATTTACCTTCAAGGGTGGGAGAACTATGTGCAGTATATATAAAGACTAAATAGGAAATTATTGACATTTCTCAAAATGAACAAAGTTCAGAGTCCTCATCAAGAATTTCATATCCAAACAACTTAAATTGACTAAGACATTCGCCATTTATAGCCTTGTCGTATAAGTTATTAGTTTTGTTTGTTTAAATACAAACAAAAGAATGAATGAAGAATGTTGTTAGTTTTGTTTAAATACTTATCAATAATGTCCAATTTTAAGTAGTCACATTTTAATAGTCTTTATGTAGTAGCTAGTTTCTGACAAAGTAATGAGCACATCTAATGATTCTAAGGCATCTATTATGAAATTCTCAGAGTTTGAGCAGGTAATTTTTTTTTGTGCCGGAGGACCATGCCGGTGAGGCATAAAACAACACAGGTCGCACAGTTGCGGTAACACTTTTTACTCAAGTCCATAAGCATTTGGTCACTTCTTTTGCCTTATTTCGAATATTGTTTGCTGTCTGCTCGCTCATTAATGCTCTAAACACAGCTACTGTCCAGGTAACGTCAGATGCCGGCGGTTGGCTCTTCAGATCGTGGCATCACACCAGAGGCGTGGATTCGTCTCTGAAATCTCGAAAAACTTGGTAAGTGGGGCATTTCTGAATGGCCGGCAACTTTTCTCAAAGTCACCGTCACTTTTGCTGGAATGACGTGGAAACTCTAAGCCTAACGGCCGCATATTTCACAGTGCACATCAGCGTAGCCACTGAGGGAGGGATTTCGAAAAATGGACCAATGAGCTTCTATTGCTCTTGTGACACTAAATCTTCAAGCCTGTGAGCGTATGTTGTTTACCTTTTAATTTGCATTTATTTCGCAGTTATAAATGTATGGCGTAATAGTAGAAAATCTTATAGTGCTTTCTTTTTATGAGTTTAATTAATCGCTGGCATTTATGAGTTTAATCATTTTTATCATGAATTAATATTTGGATTGATGTTCACGGCATATTATTGCTCTTTACATTGATAAAATGACACAAGCTACAATTAGCCTCGAATATTATGCATTTACTAACACCTGTGAATTAAGAGAATTTAAGTGGACTATTTTTTTAATTCTGCTGAGAAGGACTGGAAATGTTACAATGAATCTAGTGTTTCTTATTTCAGTGCTTGCATTCTTTTGATTTTTAAAGTGTAAGATTCAGAATAATATTGCGTATGATCTGATTATATCCATGGTTAACATTAAAAGTTAATACGTAAATAAATTGAATATATTCGTTGTGAATAAGATAAATTCTTTCAATTTGATGTGTATTTCTTGTAGAGACAGTACATGTAAGAGTGAGCAGTTATTAAATGTGAAACTTAACACATTAAATATATAAGAAATCAAATTAGTAAAGTTCACTTTGAGTAAAATTCAGCATTGGTTATTATAACATCTTTTTCATATAGACTGCAATAAAAATCACTGACTTCTATTTACATACATAATTAGTATAAATATTTTTCTCATATGCACAGTTTTATGTAAAGATAGCATTTGGGCTCAGATGTTATCACATATTTCTTTCTTCATCTTATTTGCCACTTATTAAGTAATATTTCACATGGATATTTTTGCGGAGTATCCAACATTTGTTTATGGTGGAGTCAGAGATATCGTTTCGAGTTAGACGGACGCTCTTCTCCTCGCTGCTGAAAGAACGATTTTGAGCGTGATTCTCTAGTTCAACTCGGAGCGTGAAGAAGCTTCAGCTCCTCGCTCTGATTTTCCCTGCACTCGATTTTGCGCACTTCCTTTTGCTGTTAGGGGCTAATAGTAGGTTGGTGCTTTGGTCCCGGCTACGAGCATCGTAAAACGGCCTACCGAACCTGTTGTTTCTACGACCTCTGCTCTTTGCTGATTGAACAATGGTGGAAAAGCTCTTTGACTTTTCTCGGAGTGCTAATCACGGAGTATGAAGTGAGACCTGATGACAAGCCACTCACTGATAAGGAGAGTATGGAACTACGAGTGCTTTGCGGTTTCAGAGCCACACTCCACAAAATGACTCTCCAAGGATCTGAAAACACTGACGATAAGGAAATTATACCTGCCAGGGACCAACCGAAAGCTGAACAATCTATGACCAACTTGGCTGCGGAATCTATGATAGTGGACGAGACACGGACTAGAAGTAAACGCCCGCTCAGTCCCACCATTGAATTCACTATTCCAGTCGCTAACAAACATGGACAGTTCGGACAATGGAAATAACACAGAAATTACGACATCTGTCCGGAAAACTAGGCGAACGCACGGGAAACGCCGTACTCCAGCTATATACCCAAAACGTAAAGAAACATCTGCGAATCCTGTCCCTCAGGAAGATAAACTTCTGAATCCCGCCCCTCAGGACATTGCCTTTCAACAACCAATCAGTGCGGAGGGTCAGAAACCTTCACAGAAAGGGTCGGAAGACAGACAGTTGCCTCCACCGCAGGCACTATATGCAGAAAAATCCTCAAAGAAAACTCCGATCATAGTTAAAGACAATCGAAACACCTGGTATGACTTGATGAAAATACTCAAGTCACGCAATTTCAGTGAGAATGTTTAAAAAGCTAAAGTGATCAGAGATGGGATTAAAGTACTAGTGCCAAACCCCATCATTTACAAACAAATGGCAAAAATACTCAGTGGTAAAGGAGTTTATTTTAATTCATTCCCGTTACCCGAAAGTAAAAATATAAAAATGGTTATTCGAAGCTTACTGAACTACATCAAGACAGAAGATATACAGAAGGAGCTAATTGAACTCGGGTTCAAAGTAGAATCTGTACATCAGCTCACAAGAAGGAGAAATGGTGATATAACTAGACTCCCTCTCTTCCTTGTAACCCTTTCAAGGACTGAGAAATCTAAAGAACTCAATCAAGTGGAATACCTCCTTCAGAGGAGAATTAAAGTTGAGCCCTACAAAGGACTGGCGGGACCCCTGCAATGTTACAGATGCCAGGAGTTTTACCACACCCAGACGAACTGTAACCATGAACCGAGATGTGTCCGATGTGGACAAAAACATGAAACGTCGCAGTGTGAAAAGGACCACACTTCTCGTCCAACCTGTGCAAATTGTCAAAAGGCACATACAGCCAACTTCAGTGGGTGTGAGAAGTTCCCAAAACTAAAGGACACTCCAAAAACCAGGGCTTACGTAAATAGATTTGTGACAAACAAATCTTATTCAAGCGCAGTATCAGAAGGACTTCCTTTCGAAAAAATTACTGAGGCCAAACAGGTTTTAAAAGGCCTTACGGGTCTGCTCTCGATAATCCAATAATCGGGAATTCTTAGCATCAACTCAATTATCAAAAAAAAAAAAAAAAAAATAAATAAATAAATAAATAAAATAAAATAAAAAAATAAAATAAAATAAAAAAAATCAGGTAAAGATTCGTTGCGTAAAGAAAATAATGGACCAGCTCACAATTAGATGTGCCCCGATTCGCATCATGATATGGAAAGCTTGTGGTTTGCACAGCAAAGTTCAAGAGCTGCAAAACTTCTTTATATATTATGATATAGACATAGGAATAATTACCGAGACACATGCTTCCGCTGGACAGCGACTGGCAATCCCAAACTATGTGTTTTACAGAAGCGACCGAATCATTATCATGAGATTGTGAATCATTAATATATTGATAAACACTTGCAGATACGAAATTGCATAACAGCTGTAGTTTTCTTTCTTCAGTTGCCTTCTTCACTTGTGTGAGAAAATTTGAAAAAGTTCTTTTCCAATGTTTCCATTTAGATTCCGCTCCAACACAGGCAGGGTCAACATCAAATCTTTCTGGTTTCAATAGGTTTTCCATTTTGCAAAAAGAAAATAAAGTATAAATTAATTTTAGTTGATAAAATTGTTATAAATATAATAAATCACTTTCCTACAGAAGCTCAAATGAAGCTTTAATCAACTACAATTGCACGTAAAACAATTGTTACATTGTAAGAACAATATTTAAACTAACAATGTTTGTTGCCATTCAATGTAGTATAATTTTAGTGCTGCCAACAATATTAAATATTATACCATACTTTCTTTTCAGATAGATCAGTGATTCCCATACAAAATTCCACGGATTGAATGAAAAAAGAATTATTAAATTCAAACAATTATTTAATGTGAAACTATATGAATGAAGTAAGAACTTCAATTTTAAAATTCTAATTTAGAGAATCTGAATTTTGAAATAAAAATCTTCTTTTTTAAATTTGAATAAATGATAACTTTAAATCAAGGAAATGGATCAATTATTTCAGTTATAGTATGACAATATGACTGATTCAAGAGGTCTGTACAAAAATATGAATATGAATGCTTATGGAGGAAAACTCTTATTTAATTTCATTAATATACATATATTATAATATTTTGAACTTTTTAATATAGGCCGTTTTGCTTATTTTTTATTTGCAATCTGTCACGTTTGTGCAGCCGACAATCAAGCGGACATTTTTGGCAGTTCGATATATGTCGGCGCTGCAGTCGCACTTTGAGTACGTCGGCTGCTCTAGAGATACTGAAACTATCATTCAGAAAATTTTAAGTTTTTTATTCGCTCGCTACGCGGTGTGTGAGATGTGTGTTTTGATGTTCATTGTTGGTTTGGAGCATGATGTGATGCGTTAGATTCTATTCTTTCCTTTGTATGTCTCTCGTAACTCAAGTTAATTCTGTGCCCATGATTGCATTTTGAGAGTAATTAAAGTTATTTAATTTTATAAATTCAGTTTTATAGACATTTGATTCACTGCAGTGCGAATTAATAGGTTATTTATTCGAGTACTCACTCAGTGATTTGCAAAGGTGAGTGACATATTTTCACCCATGGAATTTTATTTTGTAAATTTATGTCTGGTTTTATTGAGAATATTTCTTCCAGTGAAGTAAAATATGTTTTCATAAGCCATAGTTATTCATTTGGTACTAAGCAGTTGTTGATTTTCTCATGAAAGAACTGATAAACGAGCATTTAATGTGCAATTAAATTTTATTTTTCGTGAAATTAAAAATATTTTAGGTGTTTCTTGTTATCCAGAACTGTGTGACAATTTATTATTATTATTATAGAAAGTGTATAAATTTTTCAGTTGCTGTTTAAAATTCCTTTTTTTAATTAAAAAAAAGCAAGAAAGAAAAATAAATATATATATTATATATATATCTATATATTTTCATTTAACACTTTTTATTTCGCTGTTTATGTTGCAACTTAAATTATAGAAATATTTCTGTTTGATATAAAATATATCACTAAACATTCAAACCATATTGAATACTTTAATATGGATAAAATGGAAATCAATTTTTTTAATTGAAACATTTTCTTCGATTTTAAATGACAGAAGTTAAAAGTTTGAATTATGTTTATGAATTTCATAATTGCTGATGATTTTATTTATTTGATGATTTACTTTCTAAGTATATAAGGTCTTCAGATAAAAATATTCTTTTTGTGTTTATAAAAAGAATTTAAATTATTTTATGGATTTTTTATAATTATAATTTTTATTAATTTTATTTTGGAAATATAATTCTTGAATCAGTGGTCTATAGTTTACAGCTGAAGCTCTTTTTTAATTAATATTTATATTAGTGTTAGTTGAAATAATGTATCCTTCCAAATGAAAAGTTTTTTTTTCTCTCCCACTTTTTTTTTTTTTAAATCATGTTTCATAGTTTTGTAGTTAAAATATTAGTTACTAATTATGAGGAATTAATATTTTTATTTATTATTTGGAAGTAATAAATGTTTTAGAATAGGCATAATATGAGTAACGATATTTATGCTGTATTAAACACATATGAAAAATGTATGAAACATAGGTTTATATCCTGGGCAAAAGCAGATCTGTATTAAATAAGAAAAAATTAGTTTCTTTTCTTTTTCTTTTCTTTCTTTTTTTTTTTTTTTTTTTTTTTTTGTATGACAGATGCTTTAAAATATGTAAAAATTTTTAATTGTCTTCAGTATGTTAAAATTGTAAAAAATTTCAGTACTTGTAGGAATAAATTTTAAATAATAGATTAGCTATTAACTGTGAAATTAAAATAAAATGATCCATTGATCATATCCAGTTTGTAAAAGTTATGATAGGAATATGAAAATGATTGGTGTAAAAATTATATAATATAAAATTATATATATATATATAAGATATATACATTTTGATTGAGTTTATTGAATATAGTATGTAATAAATGTTATGTAAGAAAAAGCTCTCTTTATTGGAATAAGACAGTGATACTAATTTAAATTTGCATTCTTATGAAAACTTTTCCCATTATTTGTCCATCAGAATGCCTGACTTGTTTGTATTGTTGCTGTTCTATCTTTAATGTTTGAATATTCTATGGAGTAAAATAAGTAAACAAGCAAATTAATTTCTTATATTAGGTTGTTAACTGTATATATCAAAGTTGTTCTTATAAAACTAAAATTAATGTTAAAAATGTAAGAAGTTTCTTATTTTATGTATATATGTTAAAATAAGTAAAAGTGTAGTATTGGAATAAAGTATGTTTTTTTAATATCAGAAAAGTAATTAGTAAAAGTAAATGTTAAGAGCTGGATGTATTAAAGAGTTGGATAAGAGCTGGATGGTTTTATTACTGCTGAAACGTACTTTAATTTAATGATATAGCCACTTGTTAGTTTTAATATAGTGAATAAAAAATTATGTTCATACAATTCCAGTTCCTTATTTTTATATAAAATTATTTCTTTCAGTGTGGATTAAGTTTAAGATTATTGGGATTATTTTTTTCAAACAATGATCCGTTATGGCTTCAAAATTAACTCCTCAACAAAGTCCTCAAGCTCCTTCATCGTCTTTCTGGCAGGTTAGTGTATTAAATTTGATAACGTTTCACAATGAATAATAAATTTGTTTGGAAGAATTCATGAGTAGAAATGTTACCTATAATCTTTTATGTAAAAACACTTCCTGATTTTTGTAAAGACTTTTTTTAGCCCTCCTATGAATGTGAAGGGAAACTGACCATATCTGAAGTATTACTAAAAGTACAAGTGTTCAGAAATTTTAGAGGCAGAAAATGTGGTTTCATTAATTTTTAATATATACATGGTAAAAGTTTACTATTGGGTGCCCCTTGTGTTTTTGCGATTCTTTTTTGACGTCAAGATTGGTCCCAGGAAGGCACAATTTCAAGGTGGCCTCTATACAAAACTCAAATAAGAAGTAAAAGAATTGCAAAAACTCTGTGCCCATGTACACATCGATCTGTTTTCAATTAAAAAAACATCCCAGAATTGCACAAACTAGGTATTGCACACTGCCTTAAATTTGTCCATATACACATCAATCTATTATCATTTAAAAAAAAAAAATCAAGAAGCTAAAACAAAGTTAACTATCATGGTAACCAGAAATGAGGTTTCATCGCCAAAATTTAAAAAAAAAAAAAAAAAAAAAAAAAAAAAAGTGCTGTTAATTGAAGGGGCACCCAATTCTACACTAGAGCCAAATACACTGATATGTTATCTCGATTAAGTAATTTTCATTTTATTCCAACACAGAAAAGAATTTGAAAGTAATTATGCACATTAAAATAAAAATTATAGGGCTATTATCATATTACATGTTATAATTATTAACTTATTAAATTATCTTCATTTGGCAGAACTGCAATACTGTAATTCTTTTCATATTTACACTGCTCATTGTTTCATAATTTTAAATTTCATTAATATATTTCTCATAAATATTGTTTCCTTGTGATTATATAAAAAATTAAGTTTTATATGTACCTTGCAATAGTTGACAAAATTCTGAGCTCAGTTGGTATAATTAAATTCTGACAGTAACAAATTAATATATTTTAATTGACTTAGGTCAGTCATAAGTATTTTGCATAATAAAAGATTAGTTGTATATTAATAAAAGATATACTGACTTGTAACTCAGTTATTCAATGTGAAATTGTGAATGTTAAAAATATATAAACTATTAAAAATAAAGTATAAGAATTTATTCCCTAGTCAATGATCTCTTAGTTATGTATTTGTCATAAAGCTCCAGCACAAATATGCAAATTTTATCAATAATAATATAATTGCAAAATTAAAAACTTATGTGAATTTTAATCACGTTCATGTATAATTGGTTAATATAAATCTATTTTATTTATATTATACATAATTATATAGCATTTTGAGCAGTGATATGCTATAGTTTGTGCAGAAGAGGCCTAGGTATGAAGAAAAATTATAATTCTGTCTAAGATGTCTAAGATGATGACTGTGCATGAACATGAACGGGGGTGGTGGTCATTTTAGAGAGTCGAAATTCAGTACTAGTGCTTGTTTGTGTTCTTGAAAATACTAATCACTCTCAGAAGTGATCATCTTAGAGAGGTTGTTATTAAGACAGATTTTATTGTATTTTGAATCTGAAGACTAATGAGTACAGTAATGGTGAGTATAGTGTGATATATTATGTAAATTCGATAAGAGGGAAGTGGTAGTACCATAGTAAGTATTTTTTTTTAATCTGATGGATATCGTAATAAATAAATAATTACTTAATTAAGCATGTTATTTCTGAAAGAGCCCAAGGTTAGCAAAACAAATCATTTCTTAGTTTTATTGTTAATCATTTCGAAATTATAAAATACTTTTGAAGTTATTCTACTTCAGAATTACTGGTACTATTAGATTATATTTAAAGCTTGAAGTATTGTTTTAATAGTATTTCTGTCACATAAATAAAGACTTAATTTTAACTGAAAGGAATGGCGGAGATTTCATATTGTAATATACTTAATAAGAAGAATAAATAAATATTTTAAAGAAAACTTAAGATTTTCTGTAAATTGGAAAAATTTTAAATTATTTATTTTTTATTAACATGAGATTAAGTGTTAATTTATAAGTACTATAACCATTACATTGGTTTATGTTTAAAATGAACTGTATTAGAAAAGCAAAAATATTCTCAAGAATTCTCAAGAAAATTCTTACCCTTCAGATCAAAATGAAAATGTGATTTTCTCCAGTATTTTTATAAATGATAGAGCTGTACAATAGTTTAATTATTTTTTCATAAGAATAAATAGTAAAGTTAAATTAAATTTAAATAATTCTCTTGCACCATTGCTGCCAGGAATGAAATTTGAAGTTAATTAAAATTAAAATTTTAAATTATGAAATTTTAATAGCAAACAAATAAACGATTAATTATTGCTCCAAACTAATCTACAATATCATTTAAATTCCGAAAGTATATGTAAATTAAGTGCAAGTATCAAAATCCATGAATAAATATATTCCAAAAAATTTTTTTAATCCTAAAATTTATAAAAAATTTCTAAGACTTAATTAATTTGCATAGTGAATAATTGTTGAGCAGGCAGGAGACAGATCTTATCAAGGGGAAGTTGCCTCCAAATCTAACTCTTCAATTACTCAATTCATGTTTTGTCATCCATATAGGCTTGGGTATAGTAATTTAAAACCAAAAGTAAATCAAAAGTAGTGAATTACTAAAATTTTAAGAAATTAAGATTAAGTTTAAAAGTTTTAAGATTAAGTTCAAAAGTTCATATATATGTGTGTGTATAAATTATCAAAATATGAGAGCAGTTCATTACCAAATTAATTGGAAAAGTCTTTTAAATTATCAATTTTAATTGCATTCATCCTTTTCTCAAAGCCCATATTGCACCATGTTACATTACACTTTTTCTGCAGTAAGTGCATTGTGAAATCTTGTGCCTAGCTACTGCTTAAAATTCAAGGCTTTTCTTTCAATTCTCGAAATTTTGAGTTCACGTTCTGAAGTAGTTATGTCAAATTTTTGGTTTAGGTTCTGAATTGGTTACATCATCAGCATTATTAAGTCATGTATGGAGTGATCTAGAAATCATGCAGTCAGAAGAAATTTTGAGGCATTGCAGAAGGGGAACATTTAAAAAGAAAAAATGTTGGCTGGGCACTTTATTTAATAGCCATTAGGCTTGTGCCACTACAAAGACCAGAAATGGTGGCCATTTCATTATGGAAGCGCCTAAATAGGTGGCCACCGTTGCCTTCTATGAAGGGACAGACAGTCCCAAACATGTCTTCTTCAGGATTCGAACCCGGGCCCATCACTTTAGCAGTCGGGGTCACTAACCACTATAACCTGCTGGGCTGCTAGGAGAGGGCCATATAAAAATGTAAAGAAATTTAAAGAGCTATTGCCAATTAAGTTAGTAATTTTTTAGAAATTTATTTTAGATTTTACGTATATATATTTAAATTCAACTATATTTCTTGATAAAGTATGTGTATAGATATTTATCTTTATGTGGATTGTTAATATACTGGAAGGAAAAAAAAATCTAGGTACAAAGGGTCAATTAATTTTAGAATTATGGTAAGGAAAATATTTTCTTTTCATACCAATTTTGGGGAACGTTTCATACCTGGTTTGTTTTTATGGAGAATTAATAAACTTTTGCTGGCAGTATTATTGATAGAAATTTATGGAAACTTTTTTCATCTCCAATGTTGGATGTTAAAATATGCTGAATAAAATAACCTTCTTTGATTAAACTAATAACTGGCACACTTTGTTTGAATGAAATATGGCAAGGGAACATACCCATAAATCTTTCAGTTAAGTATACAAATTTAGTATTTTGTTTTTATCTTGAGTATATAATTTATTTATAAGCATATGGAAATTGCTCATTTCTGGCTTGACATATGAAGTAGATAGGCTTTAATTGCATAACCATTAACTATCTGAAAGTAAGTAACAGTGTTATACACTCATGGACAAAATAATTACCGCACCAAGAAGGAGTCGTCAAAATGAAACGAAATTTTACATACGTAATGACTAGTTTGATATAAAATAAATTATAAGAAAATCAAAGAAAAAGGATCATTTATTTCAGAGAAAAAGGCAAAAGAAGTTAATACTCCATTGGACCCCCTCAAGCGCAAATGCACGATGCGATACGATCGGGCATTGAGTCATACAAGTTCTGTATAATGTCTTGAGACATTTCGTTCCATATTTGCTGTAACCTTGCCTCTAGTTTGTTCAAACTAGTGAGATGCCCAACTCGTCATCCCAAATGATCCCAGATATGCTCGATTGGAGACAAATCTGGGGATCGGGTAGGCCAAAGAAGGGTAGTAACAGTGCAGAGACAGTCTTGTGACACCCTTGCCGTATGAGGCCGAGCATTGTCTTGTTGAAAAATGGCTCCTGGGAGCCGTTGCATGAGTGGCAACACATGTGGTTGCAGGATTTCACGAACATACCGCTGTGCTGTCATGATGCCACGGAACAATACTAGGGGTGACCGAATATTGTAGGCAGTGGCCCCTCCTACCATCACACCAGCTGTGGGAGCGATGTGTCGCTGTACAGCAAAGGCAGGTTTGAGGCGTTCACCATGGGCTCTCCACACATGAATACGATTGTCATCACTGCCGAGATTGAATCTGGATTTGTCGCTAAAGACGACCTGGTTCCATTCCGCTGCAGTCCAGTTTCCTCGTGCTCGGCACCACTCCAAATGGAGATGTCGATGGGTGGGCACCAAGGGCAGCACACGTAATGGGCGCTGCAATACCAACTGTCCTTCAGACTGGCGCCTTCGTATGGTTTGAGAAGATACAGGGGCCCCTAGTGAAGGTGCTACCTGTGCCTGGATGGCAGCCGATGAAGCAGTTGACTGTACGCGTGCATTTCTTACAATGTTGCGGTCTTCTCGACGACTGGCCTGTCGAGGGCATCCTGAACCTGGTCTTATTCTTTCCCTCTCAAACTGCGACCTTATAATAGAGCAAACAAGAAGAAAGTATCTTTTTTCCCGTTTAATAT